TGGGGGAACATTGTTATCGGACTCCAACTGGCTGCCGGCTCCGGGCGCTCCCACTGCCAGTTGCAGCACAGAAACTTCTTCATTTACATGCATTACGAACGTGGTCCACTTCCACGGGAATGTCGCGACCAGAGAGTCCATCCATCACAGGCACGTGCTCTCTCCCTCTGGCAGTCTCTGCCTGTCTCGCTGTCAGGCCATGGTCCTGTGTCCTGTGTCCTCGGACTCGTACTCGTACTCGTACTCGGACTGCAACTCCTGACGTGAGCAGCGAAGCAATTTGCGTGAAAATAGTTTTTTAAGTGATTTTGAAGCGTCCATTTCCGCTTTTCCTTTGCCCTCTTTGTTTCCCTCTCTCGCTTTTAGTTGTGTCCCCCATGTCCTTTTGCAACGCTAAATGATTTTATGACATTAATTTGTGTCCTCTGCTGTGACGGGTACATCAAAAACCAACCACATTGCGGGTTTTGGTTCACCTTTAAGGCAAACCCTTCAGCAATCTGTTACCTCAGCTGCTAGCCAAATCCTTTTCAATTAGATAAATTAGCTGGCCACAGATTTGCCCGCTTGTTGATGACTTTTTCGGCACTCTCCGTGCCTCCTCTCCTTGATGGTTGTGTCAGGGGAGGTCTCTCGAAGCTGTCAGTCCACAATTAGCATGGTCACCGTAATGTGGCTGGCTTAGGGCCAGGATGAGCCACGTGGGCTGAGTGCTTTCGATGGTGTAAATATTGTCACAGATGTGCGGATGGGCCAAAGCGAAAATACAAATAAAATGCCAATGGCCATGGCCATCGCTGGGAGTTGGGAGTTGGGCAAAAAATAAAAGATGACAATGGCAATGAGTGGGCGAGGGATTTGTGAGGTGGGAAAAACCATTTGATTGATTGAATTTAAAGAGCAGCAAACAGACAGCTACGTGCCATGTCGAGGAGGTGGATGATGACGATGGTGCAGCGGTGCAATTTCCTTTCTCTTTGCAAAAGTTCAAATCATTAGAGTGATTAAAGGCAAGCCGGAAAAAGGGAACAGAACGAACAGAAGAAAGGTTGCGAATGGCAGGAGTCGAACCCTTATCAGCCTGAGCAGGGAAACAGCTAAAAAGGGCAACAGAAAACCTCTGTAAAGTGCATCTGTAGCCAAGCCGTTGCTGCGATTGAACATGCCACTGACGAACCCAGAACCACGATAAGTTCATTGTTTTTGCTTTGCTTTTTGCTTGTTATAAGCCCTGAACCCTGAACCCTGAACCCTGAACCCTGAACTACCATTTTTTAGGCAAGTAAGCAAGGAATCCAGCGATTTTACCAACATAAATTATACAAATTAAGAGAAGCAAAAGAATAAAAAAGAGAATCGAAAACGGAAACACGAAATGGAAAAGTGGAAAAACTATTTGTATAAACTATAAGCCAGCATTGCGTAGATTAAGTAAATGTATGATAATTTTTTTTTATATAAATATATAAATAAATACACTCACACACACGTACATAAATACTGAAAGTATCAGCGGGAAAAACTACAGAGAACAAAGGAGCAAAGTGGAAGTTTTGGCACAAAACTGGAATAATTTTTTAGGCTTTTGTTTTTTTTTTTGTGTTTACGATTTTTAACTGACTGCAGCATTGTAATTGTAATTGTAAAAACGTTATGCACATAAGAACATTCAAATAAATAGATATTAAAATGAAACGAAAGCAAAATGGAGAGTGGCGAATGGAAAATGATAAAAGCATAGATTAAAAAATGTTTGCATGGGAGTATATGGGAGTGCAATTTATGTGTCTCTGTGTGTGTAAAATATATTGAATAAAATAGCATTTGTGGAAATGTGGCAAAATGGCGTTTTCGTTTCGGATTATCCCTTGTGAGCGGGTGCCAAAGCGCCCGAAAGTATGCCCTGAGGCAGATCCGGGTGCACCCGGAGAGTAGGCAACAGATCCCAGTCCCATTCCCATTCCCATTCCAAGCGGAAGGCTTTGCGCTCGCTGCACGATTGACCCATTTAGATGAACGGCCAGAATCACATCTCACAGCTCGCATCGAACTCACATAATTCACGCGACTGGCAGATATCTCTGCTCCGCGCTGATTCAAAATGCAAATTTGTAGCAGCATCGCTCTTCGCTTTGCTTTGTTGGCCATCAATTTATGCACTCGGCTGCTGCTGATACGCTGCTGATTTGTGGGGGCCCCCGTCGGTTTGCTCATGTATAAAAGTACATCGGGCATTAATGTGGGACAGCAGTCAACAGCCACACAACATGGCATCAGGTCAGCATCCGTCGCGGATCCATTCGCCGCTGCTGCTGCTGCTGCTGCTGTTCCTCTTCCTGGGTGTAGCCCGAGGCCAGGGTCCCATCCGAGTGCCGCCTTTGCAGCTGCAAACGCCAAACTTTGATGCCGAAAGCTTTGAGCGCTTCGAGGATGCCACCAACAACAACGACGAGAGTGGCGAAATGAGGGAGCAGCTGAAACAGCGGCTGGGAGAACAACTGGTCAACGCCTTTGCCCCCTTGGGCACGGCACCCTTCTCGCAGCTTGGCCTCCGCAGGCCGGGCATCGTGGCACCCAGCTCGGGGGCACAGGCCCGGGCTCAGTTTACAGCCGATGCGGAGTCGGATTCCGGCGAGGAGGATGAGAGCTCATCCAGTGAAGAGGAGGAGCCAACACCTCCGCTGCAGCCACAGCCACAGCCACTGCCACTGCCACAACCACAGCCTCAGCCAGAGGAGGATCCCGAAGAGGAATACAATCCGTGGCGTGATAATTTCTATGACCTCAACGAAGATGGCAGCTACATTTTTGGGTAAGTTCAGAGCTAGAGTTGGTATCCGTAATTGGGGGAAACAATTGATTAATTGGACACTCACATGGCAGCCGTTCATAATCATCCATCCCATCCATGCACACAAAAGAGAGGCAGCCTCAAGCTTTGTTTAACACAATTAATTGTGGCTGCTGGATGAGTATTCGTATATTGATTGATAATCGGTTGGGTTTCCGCTTCAGCTACTCCCTGCCGCACGGCGTTCGGCGCTGGGAGCGCGGCTTCTACTCGGAGGAGCTGCACAGCCGCGTGGTGGAGGGTTTCTACGTGCAGCCGCGCCCCCTCGGCTACGAGCTGCGCTGCTATCGCTCCGACATCCACGGCTATCAGCCACTGGCAGGTGAGTGGCGTTCGCTGTGGGCATGACTTAGTTGCCACTAATGGCTGCAACTCATTTTCAGTGGCTTACCTGAGGCGAGCGCCCAGCGTGCGTCGCAACGAGCAGCCGCAGGTTGATTGCTTCAAGAATCATCAGCGATAGTGAGCGATGGTCCCTGATCGTGCTGGAAGGAAGCATTTCAAATGTAATTTTTTTTTTTTTGTGCACGTTTGTAAATAAAGAGATTTTAATTTAAAACCAAATAACCGCCAATAGTTGCTGTGATTTTGATGTGGATAATACTCAGGTATCACTCTTTACTTCCTTTACTGTTCTGGCTTCTGGCTTCAAGTTTAATTCAAATAACATTTCCTAATACTTTTTATTTGTTTTTATTGTCTCTCATTTAGCTCTCCCTTCGCCTGTCCACCTTCAGCTGTCTCGCTCCCTCTCTTGTTTTGGGCTAGCAAACGTTTTGGGGTTGGTGTTGAGTGTTGCTTCGTTTGCTTCGTTTGCTTCGTTTGCTTCGTTTGCTTCTTTGTTTGTGTGGCTTTTGTGGCGTCCCTGACGAGCGTCCGTGGTATGGTATTCCCACAGTTTTCAATTTTTGGCGATTTGTTGCGGCACTTAACGGTTGTTTGTTAGCGCTGTCATTGTTGTTGCTGATGAAGCGCCTTTTGCCTTTTGCCTTTTGCCTCTTGCTTTTTCCTTCCTGTATTTCCTGTGTGTTTCCTCTCCTGGCTAGCACAGGGTATACGCAAGTGTTCCAACGCTTAAACATATTTTAATTATTTATTTTATTTGTTATTTAACCACAACGAAGTTCGACTTGAACTTGCGAACTTCTACAGATTCATTGGGTATCCATTAGTCGCATCATTCGGCATTTCTGGGATATTCTGTTGCTCTTTGTTTTTGTGTTCGCGACTCTCCCAAGACGGCAGAGAAATTTCGGCCAGCGTAAAGGGATTGCTCACCACAATCCACATCCGTTGTTCGCGTCCCCGCGCCACCGAGAACTTTCTTGGCTCTTGCTTAAAAATGAATTTGCCTAAATCAACAAAGAGCACGGCAGAGAGCACACAAAACAGGGTTACAAAATCAGAGACAAAGAGAAAGAGTTGCACAGTGGAAAGAGGAGAGAGAAAACATACAAAATGTCATTGTAGCACATCATTTGGTCTTCTCTTCTCTTCTTTTCTCTTCTCATCTATTTACATATCTTGCGCGTGGCTTTATAGCCCAAAACATGAGACACAAATATACAAGAGTACATATGTACATACATACATATGTACATTAATTTGTACATACAGAAACAGGTTCATTTGGCTCACGTTTTTTGAAACTTTTAGCGATTGATCTGGCTGGCTTGCGGGTTGCGGGTTGCTCGCGAGTGACTCAGTTACGCCCGCGTGTGACCCAACAAAGTACACTGGACTACATGGTTTTTGGTGCTGCAATTAGTCAAGATTCAAGAAGAGAAAATAATTCAAGTTTTTACTATTAATATTGTCAGAAGATTAGATTTGTGGCAAATATTTGTTTTAAATACATTTCATAATTAATTGAGGAATATTTAATTTGATAAAAGGTGTTTTGTCTTTAGCTAATTGTTTAATATATAAAATAAATAAAATAAATAAATATATGTACATAAATTAACCGTTTTTATATTTAAATGAAGTATGCCTGCACAGCCTGAAGGTTGAAAGTGTTTTAGAAATATTTGTTGGCAAATTTATAAATTTAAATCAGGTGTAGGCGAGTGTAGGTGAGTAGGAGTGTAACTGTGAATGTGTCGCTTATTTTGTATTGCTTTGTTTTGAATTCTGCTAATAAATCAGTTTCTGCGGCTCAATGTTCTTTCATGGCTGAAATTCGATCTATTTGCTGGAGCCTCCTCCCAGTTGGTTCCCTCTGTGCAAGTTATGTGCAAATTTTCCGCAGAGACGGCAGAAAGTGCTGTTTGTCCGTTTGAAAATCACGAAGTAATCAACTTAAAGTGAAACTTTACAGCAAAACTTTGGCAAAGCCGCAGAACGCACAAAAGATGTGCAGATAGTCGCACACACCCACAGAGAGAGAGAGAGATAAACAGAGATACAAACTTGCCTATAATTGAGCAATTTACACCACACACACCACACACACACACACACACACACACACGCAGGGCACGAGATGGATGCGTCGGATGGGAGTGGGAGACAGAAAAGTTTTGCCTTGAGCCATCAAACAGTGCTGGAATGTGATAAAAATGCTGAGATTATGTAACCGAAAATACTTTTAAATCGAAATCGAGCAATATAAATTCATGGCTTAGACACTTGAAAATGCCAGCGATGGGTGGCCCCATTGCCCATTGGCCATTGCCCGACTGAGGACTGAGGACTGTGCTCGGTGGGGTTCGATTCGGTGCTCGGTTTGGTATCGGTTTCGGTTTCGGTTCTTTGGCTATTGGGTAAATGGGAAATGAAATATTGTGGAACACACACACACACACACACATATGCAGGGAGCAGATACACACACACACACATACACTGCATTGTTTGGTTTTTGGGATCTAAACAATATTTTACACTTACAGTGGGTAAAAATATTTATTAGCTTGTTGTTCCGCGCGCATCCCGCTTTGAACTCCTTTTTTACGAGCAGCCCTGCCTCTGGCATTTACATGGGAAATATCTTTAGTCGAGTGGCAGGCACAGCGCAGGCCATTAAATGGCAAACGAATGCGTTGCCAGAGCCCACCGATAAGATCGCAGATCAGAATCCGAACGGATCGGAGCAGCATTAGCGGGGCACCTCTCAACTAGATGGTGGACAAGGAGCAGATGGGTTGGGGATGGGGATGGGGAAGCAAACAAATGTTCGAATACATTTTTGTACATTTATTAATTAAGCATTCAAGATGAGGGACTGGAGAATTTAATCTGCCTAAGTGATTCCCCGCCCCAGCGCCTGAAGACCCTCTGGGGGACCCTGCTTAACCCTGATGCTGTCCGCGGGGTTTATTTTTGATCACCGAATAAGGAATAAAATATTGAATTGATCCACAATAAGCGGCGAAGGCAATCAATCAATTAGATGTTTGTGGAATTTGTCAATTTAAAAACGATTCAATCATCAATCATCAATCACCAATCGCTGCAAAAAGCCATCAATCATTGACACATTTGTCAATGGCCAAACTTGGACTTTAACTGTGAAAATTCTTGGCGAATTATGAACAAATGTTTGAAAATAATTGATTGATCAATCAGTGATAGAAATGTAACTATTATTGGAAGTTCCTGCAGCGTCCCCCCAGCTGCTGCCATTCAACGAATCAAATACAAAAAGGACTGGCTCCTCCTGGCTGTCAAATCAATATCAAAATCAGACAAAATCACTGAGCAAGAAAAACAAAGACAACGACTGCTAGATGAAGAGACGAACAAGGTCACTGGCCCTGAGCTCTGACGTGTGTTTATGGCATTTATCGCACTGTCGCCGCTCTACCCCCAGTCGAGGGTTAAACAATTAAGGAAATTTTCGACGCCTACGCTGCTGCTGCTGCTGCTGCTGCTGCAAATCACCGAATCGATGACCAACACAAACCAGAGAGACCGCAGAGACTGAAGACGGCAATGAAGATGGGCCATGTCGATAGCAATGTGGAACGTTGACGCGGCTACGCCGCTGGTCAATGAACCATGTCGACGGCGATTTGGCTGCTCGACCCTGCATCTGGGCCTGACACACTTTGTGGCTCTGCCAGGCGGCGCAACAAACAAACAAACAAACAAGCAAACAAACGGAGTAAACAGGCCGAAAAGAACCAGCCAGCAGGGTGGGGCAAAGGCAGTCAAGGATTCGACAATCCCAAATGCTGTCAAAAATCACAAAGGCATCGTGACGCCTCACAAATACCAGCAGCAGCCACAGCAGACTTCTTCTGCAGGAGGGTGTGATGGAGTGATGGAGTGATGGAGCGATGGAGCGATGGAGCGATGGAGAACAGCTGGAGGAGGTCCCCTGGTGGCCAGGCATTGCCAAATCATTGCCTTTGACGTGTGAGAGAAAGAGAAGTTTTATGACCGACCCCTTCCTGCCTGCCTGCCTTTCTTTCTCCTGTTGGAGCTGTGCACATTTTTCATGTTTAGTGCCAGAAGGCTTCACTCGGGTGTGAGTGAGAGTATATAAAGGGCCCGCTGGAACTTGGCTGCCACACAATCAATTACAACATTTCCAAGTGGACAAGAAGGACAAGATGCTCTCGGCTCAAAGGATCTATCCGCTCTGCTGTCTGTTGGGGCTGCTGCTGTTAGTGCCCAGCCCCGCTGAGGCGCGGCACACACGGCGACCCAGGCGAACGACCACGCCCCGTACACCACGCCCCACGCTGCTGCCGGACCGCCACTGGCCCCCTTCAGTGCTGCCAGCGGCCACAACCGAGGCAATGCCTCGCCTGGTGGATAGTTTCGATCAGCGTTCCGCGGATGGACAATACGAGTTCAGGTGGGTGCAAAGTACAGCCAAAAGCGTCTGCTACATTCAGCTCCATTCGCGCAGATACCAACTGGATGATGGAAACACTCGCTACGAGCGCGCCTACTGGCTGCCCGTGGGCAAGGACCTGGTGCTGGCCCGCAAGGGTTACTACTCCTTCCCGCTGCCGAACCAGCAGTTCTCCACCGTCTTCTACAGGGCCGATCATCTGGGCTACCATGTGGATATGAGTGAGTACTTCCACCCCTCGTGTCTGTGTGTGCGTAAAATCCGACAAACAAAAAACTGCAGACACATTATCCGGGAAGCAGCCGCTGTTGCCACGCAACCTTGAAGTGCCGCTGGAGCAGGAGCAGGAGCTGGAGCTGGAGCCTGCAGCTGGAGTCAGAGCTGATGCTGGCAAGGATGAGGTGCAGGGTCCAAATGTATGTTCTCTCCCACCCAAATGTTGCATGCCACATTCCTTAGTCATTTCAATTTGCCCCTTTCGCCACAGGCACTAAACCAAGTCGAAACCGAAACCGAAACCGAAACCGAACCATCAACTGTGGCCAACGACATTTTGGCAACTGAAGCGGCAGTCAGCAGCCATGCTGATGATGAGCTTGTTGGAGGCGTCTCCCAGTGAGCAGCAGCAGCAGCAGGAGGTTAGAGGCGGAGAGGATAATGTGGCATATGAAGGAACACTCGCTCACAACGCTCCACTCTGCTGCAAACTCAAATTGAAAACAATTGTTGCTGGAGGGGGGGACAGCCAAGAGACAGCCTGAGAGTCCGAGACGGCTGAGTGGTTCTGTCCCTAAGTAGAGAGGGTACATTTCTGAACAGCATTCGGCTGTTGGCTTTAGACACATTTAAATCCACACTAAGTATAAGTAAATAAATGACTGTGAAAATCGCTCAAGTTCGAGGCCATGCTTTGAATCAGTTTGTGCTCCCCACAGATCCATTAAGGCTTGGAGGTGTCACTCCACCTGTACCTCTGCACCTCTAACCAATTTGATGAGACATTATGCTGGTTGCCAGGTTGTGGCTTTCAATTGAAATGGTTTCTGTATAAAAACGACAAGCGAATGGCAGCTGGAGAGAGATTTGTGGGCGGCCAATCGTTGAGCATTCATAAAACTGCAGGGTCCAACACACACACAACAGCCATCCACATTTGGTCGTAAAATGCAGGAGCCAGCGGCAGAGGCAGGATAACTGCAGCTATTCATTTCGCTGCTAATCCAATGCGGGCCAGGGACTCGTTTTCGCTGCCATCTCAGCTCGGCCCCGCCTGTCTGCCCTCTCTGAATGGCAAGACCTGGCCAGAGCCGCTGCTGCTGAATGAATGGACGCTGCTGCAGGCCAAAAGATGCTTTGTTGTGGCTCCGTTCTAATTGTGGAGATGCTGCTGCTGCAGCTGCCCCACCAGGAGGCATGTCTCATCGATAGTTTTTGGTTGATTACTTTCCATTTTCAGACTTTGCTCCGTCTCTTCTTTGTATTTTATGCTCCTTGTCTGGCAAGAATGAAGATTGAAGATAGACTTTGCACTCTTCCACTCTTTCGGCGAAAATGCTAAAATGATGGATTCGATTGAGCCCGAAATATGTTTCACATTTCAATCCCCACTCATGTGTGATGGTCCGGCCCCCTGCTGCCACTCGAGTCTCGAGTTTCGAGCTTAAAATCTCGAATTTGATTTTAACACTTGTGGCTATTAATACCAAAGAGAGGGAGCGGGAGAGGGAGAGGAAGACAGAGATCCTTTCGATGACCCTTGTCCACTTGATTACTTATGTAAATATTTATGAGGACAGGGCCCATCATTTGGCTATTTGCGCAAATGAATTCATCTCCATCGAGCACCCAAAAAGGTAGCAGCAGCAAACACACATCCAGAGAGGCAGATAAATAAATAAATAATCAGGATAAATAAAGCAAATTGAGTAATGGCCATAATTGAAGCGCCCAATGAAAAATGCAGACAGAATGGCAGACCCAGTGCCAGTTCCTTTTAAACCCCACTCTGCAGGTCCAAAATAGAACCCGAAATGGATCCAAATACACAAAGTCTTCAGTCTGCGACTGTTGCGTGCCTGCGTGAGTGAGTGACTGCGGCATTCTGCAGATTTATTTCGGGTTATCAAAGAGACAAAAGAACACTGAGCAGGCGAAACTATGAAGACATTTGTGTTTTTGGTTTTTGGTAAACTGGGCACATACTGCCAGTGCCACAAGCCAGCAGGCGAACGGGTCAATGGCAGCTTCTTTTGCTGCCATAAACGAGGTGGAACGTTGGGAGACGCTGCACAAACGGCATCTCGCATTTGCTGCCAGTGTGCACAACAGCTGGAGGATGGAGCGATTTATTTATGATTGTGCCTACAGCTAGGCAGGTCCAAAGCGAGACTCAATCTAATCTGGAGATTAATAATGCGACTCGCTGTGTAAATTTCAATTGCAACTAGACACAGCACACACACAGAGGGTGCAGGCACTGGCACTGGCACTGGTACTGGTACTCTGGCTGTGTGGCAAAAAGTTCGATTTAATGGAGAGCTCAGCTGCATTTTGGACTTGGTCAGCAGTGGCCGAATTTTATTGACTTGGCTTAGCTTGCTGTGTTAGTTGTGTGTGTGTGTGGGACAGACTGGTGGATGGGGGTAACCGCACATGCTGCATGACCCTTGGCTCCTGCGCCTCCACGAAATATCTACACGTACTTTGGGTAATTGAGCATTTGCCAATTTCGCCCTGGCTTAGCCGCTTCATAAATTTATGCAAATGGATTGCTACATTTGCTGTATCTGTATCTGTATCTGTATCTGTATCTGTATCTGTGGAAATTGGAGATGTGAATGTACCTCTGGGTCACAAAAATGGTTTCTGGATCCTTAAAATTCCTTTGGGCCCGGGCGCATTGTTTTTACACACTCATCAGGGACACACAGACATAAATGTAAATGCTGCTGCAGGGTGTACATTTACTTGTGGCAAGTTTACCCCTATGGCAGCTCGGGCACTCAGCCTGCGAGTTGTATAATTTATGCAAGACACCAAACAAACTCTGCTTAAGTCTTACCAATTGTTTTTACCACATAACAAATACAACCAAGACAAACAAAAAAAGAGAAAAATAAAGCCAATCTGTAGCTGTATCTCAGTTTTGAAGAGCGCCGCAACAAGACGCCAAAAGAGCGAGAGAGGTACGTGATTTGATGGGAATTATTCCATTGCCGGAGACAGTCGGAATCAGAGCCCAGGCAGGCAGGCAGGCAGACAGTCAAAGCCACCAAAAAAAAACTGTGCAAAGTGCTCCAGACCAAAGGTAGCACTCTCCGGAGGGGTAGGTGTACGGGTGCGGGGGGGGGATGGGTCTGCAGCAAGTTGTATCTCGGGATGTCATGTCACGTAGGCAGCGGGCAGCAGGCAGCAGGCAGTGCCATTCGCTACATGGACCATTCATACAAATTTTGTTTATAAGCCACTTTTTGTACATTATTTGTGTGTAACTTGGCTCGTACCCCGCCATTCCGCCATCAAGCAGTCAGTCCCCTGCCTTGCCTGTTCCGTGTGTTTATCTCCAGATGTATCTCTGTATCTTTATCTGTGTGTGCGTGCGATTCCTTCTTCATCACCACAGCCACAGCCACAGCCACGCCACGCCACGCCACGCCACGCGATTCTTTTCGGGCCAATTCGTTCCCCCTGCCCTGTGGTGTGGGGGGATGGGAATTCACTTTGCGCGCAGTCGACAGCGGCGTCCGTGCACAGTGGTTCGAATGCTTGCAACTTGTTGAAATTATTTATTTATTTTTCAAATAAACTTGCGACTTTTATGGGTTATGGCTGAAAGTGCAACTGAATCGAGAAATATTCCGTGAATATTGGCAAATATTTTCATTTTCAAAGAACTCAACAGAAACAATTTTGATACCACATTGCTACAGTGTCACTTGGGACACTGTTGATTGTTATTAACATAATTATTATCCATAAGTTTGCTTCTTGCTTTCTGCTCTCTTTTCTCACGAGTTTCGTCCCACTGTCCCACTGTCCCACTGTGTGCTGAAAGCTGAAGCACGTCGTCAACTCAATGTTGAGCACACAGCACAGAGCGCAGCACAGCGACAACAGAACAGTGCGACCCTCCTGCTGCAGCTTCTGGCCGTGTCTGTGGCAACAGCAGGAGGATGCAGCACAGAGCGGCCAGCACCTTGGGGTAATGACAAACAGCGCCTGTTGTCCCAGCCATTTAGTGAACAGGGACAGGCGGAGCTACCTGTCACGACTGGCCAGCGGCCACAATTCCCCCCTCGGACATTGTCTTTGTCATCGACATTCAAAACAAATGACCTTGCCGATGAGTCTCTGCTGCGTCAGTTCCTTCGGCTGGTGGCTTAATTTTTGGTCACTGGGAGCCGGGCTGGCCGCTTCTTTCGCTGGAATGAATGCTTTGTCACTTGCAGACCCAAAGAACGTTTCAAAATAAATCAGTGTAATGCCACATCAGGCTGTGGATGCTGCCACTGACTGCACTGACTCACTGGCTGAGTGACTGCAATTGTCGCTGTGCGGTCTGCACATAAATCCACACAGCAGGCGGAGCAGCAGCAGCAACTACAAAATACAAATTATAAATGTGAATTATTTGGTGGGCAAACTTGTTTAGTGCATTGGCGTGACCTTTGAGGTGTGTGTGAAGTTAATTAAAAGGCGATAACTTCGTGTCGACATATTGACAGCTGCCCCGAGAGCAGCAGCAGCAGCAGCAGCAGCAGCAGCAGCAGCTCGCTGATTGTGCTCGGGGGCACAGGCTCAATTAACTTTGGCCGACTGACCAAGTAGTGCCCCCCCCCCAGCTGCCACTCAGCCTCGCAGCCAGTCCTTTGCTGGTATCATCAATTGGGCCGCGGGCCAGCGGGTAGGCAGAAGCCAGGACTGTTCGCTAAATCGCTGCACATTAAATGCAATTAAGAAATGATTGAAATCATAAATTAGCCCTAATTGGCCACAGGACGCCTCAGCTTCAGCTTCAGCATCCATGGGCAGGCAACTCCTGGGAAGGGAAGGCTGCTCCTGCTGACAGGCGGCACGTACTTGTTGGCCAAATTGTAGGGTGCACAAATTGCAGTATTTTTAGCCAGACTCTGCCGAGGCACACTGCCCCACTGGCAGCACTTTTGCAGCAAACACTCACAGAGAGAGAGAGAGAGAGAGCGAGCGAGAGAGAGAGAAGCAACCTGTCCGGAGCTGGCCCTGCCCCACCGCCGATAAGCTTGTGTGTAAGTAGATGAAATTAAGATAATTTTTTGTTGTTATGATTAAGCGTTGAGTAGCTGCTCCTCCCCGCCACTCAGTGCTCTCAGTACGCGTCTTCCTCGGTGGGACTCAGACTGAAGCTGAAGCTGAGACTGCGACTGGGACTGGGAAGCTCTCATGCCGACGTTGACTTCGCTGCTGCTGCTGCTGCTGCTGCTGGCTGAAGCGCTGCCTCTCGTTGACTATAAAAAGCCAAAGTTACGCAGTTTCCGAATTAAACTGTTAACAAAACAATAAGCGACAGCACACGCACACGCACCCCAACACACACAGAATTCCCTGCATCAAATGGCCAACTGCCACACCGTAGTCCTGCTCTCGATCTGCGTGCCGCTGCTGCTGCTGCTGCTGTCTCTCAGGCCGAGTGCCGCTGAGGATCGGCAGGCGGACCACAGGGCCGTGCGCCTGCTGGATCGCTTCGATAATCGCTATCCGGACGGCAGCTACGAGTATCGCTTCGAGCTGGATGATGGCACCGCGCGCTATGAGCGCGGCTACTTTGCGATGGTGGACAAGGTCAAGACGCTGATGGTCGTCGGATACTACTCCTACCGCATGAGCGATGGCCGCTACATCACCGTCTTCTACAACGCCGATCAGTTCGGCTACCGCCAGAACCAATGTGAGTGTCAAGAGTTTGTTTGTCCCTGAATGTTGTCTGGGGGAGTGCCCATTAAAGTGCTGTGAGAATTTGAAGCTATTGAATCAATTAGTGCCACCCACGACTCAAGCCTCTCCCTCTCTAACCCGCAGCCATCACGCCCCAGGTGTATCCCAATCTGCCGCGCTCCATTGAGATGCCAATGCCCGCCAGCGGGAGCCACTCATTCCAGAGCTCTGCCACCAGCACCAGCACCGGCACCAGCACCACCTCCCCCCCGCAGACGACGACGAGTCGCAGGGGCGGACGCTTCTGAGGCTG